CCCCCCAGCCAGGAGTCCTGCCCCCACCCTGGATGCTGGGGTGGGGGCAAACTCCAGGGTACATGAGTGACCCAAGTGGGCACACCAACCCGTAAAACATCACCCCCACACCAAGAAGGGGGTTCCCTGCTGCCAGGGCTGGTCCCTGGCAGGGACAACCTGCCGGGTGGGCTCTGGTGGGGCTCAGCACGCTCTGGGCACTCACCAAAGAGGTCATCCCGGGCCAGGGCGTAGAGGATGCGGGACGCCCCGATGAGGTTGCTCATAGCTGCAGAGAGGGTTGCAGCATAGATGCCCACCGTGACCAGGGGCGGGAAGATACTGATGTCACGCAGGAAGCCATAGTCTTTCTGCAGGAGGGTCCTGGAGAGGGACACGGACATGCTGGCACCTGCCTTGCTTCTGTCAGCATGCCCTGGCACCTGGCACACCCAGGCACCGCTGACCCCAGCGAGGGGAGGGGCTGCCATACCTGTTGCAGGTGGCACACATGAGGAAAGCCAGCAGGTTGTAGACGAGGTAGGTGAAGAGCACGGCGGAGATGGTGCCCCGTGGGATGGAGTAGCTCGGACGCTTCAGGTCCCCTGCAGGCAGGAGCGGGGAGCATTAGTGCCTGCAGGCACAGCACCCTCCAGCCTCGGCTCTCAGTCCTGGTGCCACCCAGCCCAGCACACTCTGCCTGTACCTGACATGTTGGAGCCTGCCATGATGCCCGTGCAGCCATTGAACATCACTGCAAAGACGGAGCTGAAACTCATCATCTGCCCGGTGGTGTAGTCCACCCCGTACCCACCTGCAGGACACACAGGCACAGATTGTGACGGACTGTGTGACACCCTCTCCTCGGTGCCCCCATACCCAAACCACAGAAGAAAACACCCCACGGCACCTGTTTTGTGCCCACAAGCTCCCCCCACCCTTCGTTGAGCCCCTGCCGATGTGGAGGTGACAGAGTACCCCCTCCCCGGGGCGCGAGTAGGTGTGGGGGGCAGAAGAGCCGCGCCTCCCCGCCCAGGTTGTCTCTCAGGGTGGCGAGTGAGAAGCCGGTGAAGGAGCCGTTCTCGGTCTCGGAGCCGTTGAAGTGGGGCAGACGGATGGGCACCCCGACGGGCCGCGTGGCAAAGAAGCTGACGAGGATGGTGCCCAGCACACCCGCGACAATGAGGAAGATGAGGAAGGTGGCCTTGGCATAGATGGAGGCGCCCACAAGGCACACGAGGAGGCAGAGGGCCAGCAGCACGGTGCCGTAGAGCAGCTCGTACCAGTAGCTCTGGGGCAGGACGTGGACGCCTGTGCCTGCTTTTTGCCCTGGGCAGAGAAAAGCCAGCATCAGTGGGGCTCAGAAGCGGCATCACCAGGAGGCGAAAGCCACCAGCGTTGTGCCAGGCATGACAGTCACCAACTCACCAGTCAGAGGGCTGTGCTGGTTATGCCGGACTTGGGTAAGGGACACCCGCTGTCCCCTGCCACCACACAGGGGGATACTCACCGGGCGGGATCCCAAAGCTGTCCACCACCGCCTCCACCAGCCCCAGCACGTACAGGGCACTGCCACACACGTTGGCCAGGAAAAACATGATCCCGATGCTGCCCCCGAACTCCGGGCCCAGGGCACGGCTGATCATATCTTGCTCGAGTCAAGGGAAGATGTCAGCAGCCCAAATCATCATTGGGTGCCCCTACCTCTCCCTCCCAGGCTAAGCGGGTCCCAGTCCCAGCATGGCACCCTGAGGGACTGGGCAGTCACTCGATTTTGGCCCTCATGCCCCGTCCTGGCAGCAGCCACAGCAAAGGATACAGTAGGCTCCTCCGGCATCCAGTGCCCCGTTGGTGGCGATGGCACACACGGACAGCACCGTCATGCCGATGATGAAGTACGCCACGGCGAACATGGCCAGGGCTTGGTACAACCCGGCATGGCCCACCACGAACCCTGTCGAGGACACGGGAGAGACCAGTGTGCCCGTTAGCTGGGCAGGGGCCACTCCCAGGAGAGGGTCCCTGGGCACAGCCACCACCCAGAGCTCAGCCCACCCAGGGCTGCTGTGTCTCCCTGCCCATGGCTCCCCCCAGACAAGCCACCCCCTTCCCTGCCAGGGTGGAGATGTCCCCACCCCAGGGTGCTGCCACCTCCCACCCAGTCCCAGCCCAGCCCACGCCCTCCACCTTGGGGCATCTCCATCCCCCTGCCACGCCAGGATCAGGCCCAGGTGCACACCCAAAAACCAAACAGGGCAAGGGCCCTGCTGCCCACCCAGCCCCGGGGCACTGTGGGGGGGCGGGGGGTCCCAGGATCCCCGTGCCCTGCAGCCACCCTCAGCGGGCAGGGCTGCTTTGCACCCCAGCTCAG